GGTCGTGCTTGTGTGTCGTTTGAGTGGCGCCTTCGTGTTTCATTTTTCTTCTTCTGTAGTTCGCGCAAGGATCTCGAGGGCGGGCCGGATGTATGGCGCTGGGCTTTTCGCAAGTGGCACTCGGCTTCCGGGACTTGGGTGCCGCTTTCGCTCCTGTATACAGTGCGCTCTCTGTCTCTGTCTCTCTCTCTCTCTCTCTCTCTCTCTCTCTCTCTCTCTCTCTATCTATCTATCTATCTCTCTCTATCTCTCTCTATCTCTCTCCCTCTCTCTCTCTCTCTCTCTCTCTCTCTCTCTCTCTCTCTCTCTCTCTCTCTCTCTCTCTCTCTCTCTCTCTCTCTCTCTCTCTCTCTCTCTCTCTCTCTCTCACCCACGGACACACACACACACACACACACACACACACACACACACACACACACACACACACACACACACACACACACACACACACACACACACACACACACACACACACACATGCATAACTATATCAATGTATACACGACACATTCCTTTCCTTCTTCCGCGCAGCTGATTAGAGGGAGCGTCATCCAGATTTTCAGAACTCACGCATATAAATAAGTCACGACCACCATATGCAAATTAGGATAAATCGGGGTTAATGGGATGTTGCCAACCGCGTGGTGTTCATCTGACTTTGGATATTTTGTCACCATTATTTTTATTATCGTCATTGTATCATCATCATTATGAGATTTATTATCATCAGAATCATCACTAGTACAATTATTGTTGTTATTGTTATTATTATTTTGATTATAATTTCCATAAAATCAAGATGACGTTCCCCTTAAACACGAGAGCGACAGGTGGCCACGAATGTCATATCTATTCGCCCGTCTCAAAATTCTTGTTGTGATTCATAATTTCTTGTTTTATCTCTGCGTTCACTTTGACTGTGTTCATGCTTCAAAAAGTGTGTGTGTAAGCATCGTATAGGCCTCTATCTCAAGCTTTCTGTCATGAATTTATAAAAAGAAAAGAGGAGAGAAGAAAAGAAAAAGAGAGAATAAAAGGAAGTGTACGGGATGTTTGTAACTATTTTGTATTTTTTTTTCGGAATATATATTTTTGGAGGGTTTTGTGTAGAAGCAGCCCATCAAGTAGAAAATGGGGCTGCAAAAGCGATTTTGAAGGATGTAAAAAGATTTAAAAAATAAAGTTCCCGTCTGTAAAACTGAGCTTTTGATTTTTTTTTGTACATTTTTTGAAGCTTTCAGAATCTCCGTAGAGAAGAAAAACATTACAAAGTTCGTCTCCCTCCCCTGAGTATATAAGGGGAGGCCGAGCTTTGTACATTTCGTAGCTGTGTTGTCTTGCTAGAAGTTGGTAGTTTTGTTCTTGTGTACATATGGTAACAGACGTCGACTAGCTTTGTATATTTAGGCTCTTTACCCTCTCGTGACACTGTGGTTTAGAGGTGTATTTGATAATATGTATATGTATATTTTATTTCCTAAATTCCTAGAATCAGGAGAAACCTAGGAATGATAATACTTGCCTAAAGAGAACACCAACAAGTCAATTTAAACGGTAGTTTGTAAATATAACATGGAGTAATTTTCTTTCCTACTCCAATGGTCACCATGACGACCATGCATTGAGAAACAGAGGAGTAATATTTTCTTTTTGATATTTTTTCTGCATGCAAAGTTTCACTCATTCTAGAAGTACTCAAAAAAGTGGCAAATAAACCCATGATAATTCCTAAGGAACTTGATCCTCTCTTTAAATATTCACAAAGGATAAACTTTTTTCCCTTAAAGATCCTCTTAGCCTGTAACGAGAGGATCTGGCTGGGTGGTGGGACTTCCTGACCTTCCCACGGAGTCAGTGAGAGACAAGTAACTTCAGTAATGCTAAAGAAACATGATAATGATAATAATGATAGTAATAATAAAATTGAAAAGAATGATAGTGATAATAATAGTAGTAATAATAACACAAAGAAAATAAATGATAGTGATAATGGTAATAATAGAAAATATATTGAAGATGAAAAAAATAATAATATTAAAACGATTTTAGATACTAAGAACAACCAGCCAGATTCCCTCTACTCAAAACAACTTAAAAATCGAGTACAATAAACTAAAATTTAACACAAGTTAAAAAACCCCACTTTCATTCCTCTTAGCATCAAAACCCTTAAAAATAACCCGTAGAAAAAAACCTATCCAATTAAAAAATAACAATAATAAAATAAAATAAACAAAAACTCAACAATACAACGAATAAAACATTTTTTTTCCTTCTTTCCTGCGTGTCCAGGAAGGGAAGAAGCAGCTGTCCACTCTGCAGGGCCTCGGCGAGGAGGTGCGGCAGCTCAAGGACCGCGTTCCTCTGGGCCTCCTGGTGCTGAACTGCCGCGACGTCAACCGCAGGCTCAAGCAGCAGGTGGGTGTTTGCTGTGTTGCTCTTTTCCATTTTCATTTTTTTTCTTTGTCTTTTTTTTTCGAATTTTCTTCTTGTCTTCCTTTTTTTCTCTTCTTGCTTCGCCTTCTGTTTCCCTTCTTCTCCTCCTTCTTCCCTTTCCTCTTTCTTTTTATTTTCTCGCTTTCCTTCTACGTCTTCTCCCTCTCTTTCTCTTTCTTTTTCTTTCTGCTCCTTCTCCTTCTCCATCTTCGTCTTCATCTCCTCCTCCTCCTCCTCTTCCTCCTCCTCCTCCTCTTCCTCCTCCTCCTCCTCCTCCTCCTCCTCCTCCTCCTCCTCCTCCTCCTCCTCCTCCTCCTCCTCCTCCTCCTCCTCCTCCTCCACCTCCTCCTCCTCCTCCACCTCCACCTCCACCTCCACCTCCACTACCTCCACTACCTCCACTACCTCCTCCACCTCCACTACCTCCTCCACCTCCACTACCTCCTCCACCTCCACTACCTCCTTCTCCACCTCCACCTAAATATATTGACTGATTGATTGACTGGCAGATAGACAGATAAATGAACAGACAAAATCCCGTTAATACGACCACCTTTGCCTCCGCCCAGGTGTTCGAGCTGACGACGGCGATCCAGGACTACTTCGTGGCGCGGAACAAAGAACACGACAAAGAGTGAGTTTTTTTCTTCTTTCTCGAATATCGGAAAAAAAATGTTAATTTATGTGAACGCATCTGTATTTATATTTATACATACACATGTGTCTGTGTGTGAAATCATAGATGTATGTGTATACAGCATTAGTATGCGAATAGATAATTAATTTAAGAATGAACTAAATGAAATATAAAAGGAATGGGTGAATGGACAGGAAAATAATTAGGGAAAGAACCAACATATTGATAACCTGATGGATAAAGGATGGACAGATCAGTAAATGGCGACAGAAGATTTTTGGCTAATTACTTATTCATATGATCGTTTACCTGCTGCTTGAGCCATATCCTCATCCATACCATTATCAATTCATCCCTTGATTTATTCAGATGCATATTAATAAGGTAGTAGGAGAAAGCAAGAAGAAGGGATTGGCGATAAACTGTAGAAAGACGGATTGCTTGGTGGTAAGCGAAATGGAAAGTCCTAGGTGCGAGTTGCACGTTGACGTTATTATAAAACAAGGGGAGAAATTTAACTACTTGGGAAGTTTGATTCCGGGGAAATGAGAAATGTGACAGAAATCAGGGAGCGTATTGGAATTAGAAAAGACGCATTTGGAAAATTAGGAAAAGTTCTCATAGATCACAAGGAGACGATTGTTGATTGTTGGAATGTTATGTGAAATCCATCCTTTTATTCGGCCATGAATGCTGGACGATATCACCATCAATGGAGAAGAGGGTAGAAGCAGTTGAAATGTGGTTCTTTAGACGAATGTTGAGAATATCGTGGACAGAGCATGAAACAAAGGGAGATGTTTTAAGAAAAGCAGAACCAGACAGAAACCTCTTGAAGACGACCCGAAAGAGAACTCACATTCCTAGGACACACAATGGGGAAGGAAGGGAAGGAAAACCTCACTGGACACATTGAAGGAAGAGAGGCAGAGGAAGGCAACGATAACCTACTTGAGGAGTGAGTAAACTGGTGATGGAACAAACACCAGATGGAAATAAAGCAAGAATGAGTGAGCAAGATCTGCTGCGAACAACGAATGGCAGAAAGCTGTGGAAAGCCAAAATCGCCTTCGTTTATTAAGATGTTGATTGATACATTGGTTAATATATTGATTAATAGATTGATTAATGCATTGATTGAATAAACTGATTAAGAAATTGATCAGTACATTGATCACATTTTCTTCTTGTCTTCTTTCTCCTCCTCCTTCTCTTTCTCATTCTTCTTTCTACTCCTCCTCCCCCTTCTCCTCCTCCTAATTTCAGTTTCTTTTTTTGCCCCAGAATCTGTCGTTCCTTCGACGACATGTCCACTAAACTGAGTCAGGTAACGGATGTGACCGCGGAGATTGTCGAACTGAGCAATTACCTGCACGTCTGTTCCTCCCAGACGATGACGCAGTTACTACAGGAAATACAGAACGCTACCGACCGTCTGATGTTCCTCCTTCAGGTATGTTCCTTCTTCTTCTTCGGGAAATCTCCTCCAGCTATGTTCCCTCTTCTACAGGGAATACCTGTTCCAACTGCAGGTAAGTTCCTCCTCCAGGAAATACAAGATGTCACAGGCCGTCTAATGTTCCTCCTTCAGGTAAGTAGGTTGCCGGAGATGCTGATTCTGCTTCAGGAAATGCAGGCCGTCGCTAACCGCCTCATCTTCCTCCTTCAGTTATTCAGCCAAAAATCCCCGTCAGAAGGGCATGAATACCCATCAGGAGATAGTAAAAACCCAGAAAACTCTATACGCGGAATTGCTTTTTTTGTTCTTATTCTATTTCATTTATTCGATTTCATTATCAGAACGTTTATGTTAAACGCGAGCGCCCCGTTCTTTGCGCAAGTGTGCTCATAAATGGAGCTTCATTAAGAGTAGTCTGTGGGACACATGTGTATCGAGCTATTCATGGTTTGGGCTGTTGAGCGA